GAAAAAGGAAGCAGATAAGCATAATTCATATTCGACTTTACCTAAAATTGACACTATTATTAATTCAATTAAAAAGTCAATTTATGATGCACTATTTTATTATTTTGATTCACCACCTAAATTTGCTTTACTTGCAAGCCTTTTGGATTCAAGATTTAAAAAAATGCGTGGATGGCCTGAAGAAGTAAGGGAAGCTGCAATATCTTTATTGAAAGAGGAATATCAATTATTGAAAAATCAAGCTGCTGCTACGCCTCAAAAAACAAATATGAAGCATAATTATCAAATTGGTGGATTTAAGTCACGTTTATTTGGGTTAGATGAGGATGAGGTGGATGAAAGTGATGATGAACTAAATTGCTACTTGGATAATATTAGAACTCCTCAAGCTTCTTCCGAAACAGATCCATTCCAGTGGTGGATTGATAATAAACAAAAGTTCCCAACTTTATTTGAAATAGCTAGAAAATATTTAGGTGTTCCAGCTACATCAGTACCAAGCGAACGGCTTTTTAGTGATGCTAGAAATCAAATTACCACTGATCGAAATCATTTAAAACCAGAATCTGTTAACGAATTATTGTTTGTAAAACGAAATAGTGAATATTTTAATCCTTTTGTATAAATTCATAGAATTAGTGTCAATAGTTTGAAAGTTTAGCGTTGAAATAAATGAATAATCATCGATTGTCCTACAAAAAATCAATTGCACGTGATCAATTATGGTCATGTGTTTGTATATCATTCTTCAATTTAAATACGATTATGAAGTATGTATCCTACATGTATGGGTAAAGAAAAACCTTATCGCCAATATATGGGGATGACTTCGAATATCTTGAAAAATTAGATAACCTTACTTTTGGAATATATCATGCAATACCATCATATTTCCTGTAAAAAAAGTCGATCCATTTTTAATATTCCATCTTTTTTCCGTAAAAGGCTCATATTTCCGGAATTAATAACCTTATATCACGGAATTTATTGAATTACTTACATTTTCCGTGAATGGATCCGTGAAAGACTCATTTTTACCGAGTTTTTACAAAAATTACGGATAAAATTTTTTATAGAGATGCATTAACAAGTAATAGTTTCTCTCTAACAGACTTACGCTTTGGTCATCAAGTAGTTTATAAAAGACCGGTTGTTTTTTTTGTATACGACTTCTCCAATATTATAAACTTCAGGACTCCAGTTCATAATATAACCGCACCTCTTCGTCTAGGCCACCTTCAAGTTCACCATGTTCAAGTAAATAACGGACATTATCATTGTAGGATAAACGTGGCTTATTATAACCAATAGGTGTTTAATCTGTTTATAAATTCCGGTCTCCCAGTATAATAGTATCAGTAAAGCGCTTGCCCAAAAAATTGGGTTATATATTAGTATATTACTTTTACCACTATGTTTACAGTTTTTGTATGTGATACTAGTGGTAGTATTTCTTGTGGAAGCAAAAGGTAAGCAGTGTTAGAGACAAAGCGATCAAGCGAAAAAAAATTTAGCAACCAATTATTTAATGCCGGCCAGAATTAATAAATCTTTACTGTATAATAAAATGAATCAGAAAACCTTAGTGATTGGCTAAATTTTTGTTTATAGTACAATTTCTCGAATCTGTATATCATTTCCCGAAGTCAGTTTTCTGAATATCCATTTCTCGAACTGGATCATTTCCCGAAACATAAATTTTCCAAATACTAATGCTATTTCCGAATCCTGAATTCTCGGATGGCCGGAAAACCGCCGGATCACATGAAATATCCAATTTCTCGAATTTTATCAAATTTATCTACCGTGAGTGGATATTTTACAGTAAGACTTATCGAAACTACTGATTTTATAGTATTCCATTCTGCGCATTCTGCGCAATATTATTATCAAATGAATTATTTTTTATGCTGAATATTTGGATATTGGATTCGAGATATTGAATTCATAATTCGGGCGTTCGGAAAATTAACTTGGGAAGAGTATATTCAGGAAAAAGTCATCCAGGAAAATGTTCGACAAGGTAAATTTTTTAACGTCTATTCTTTGATTGAGTTTCACATTTTTAAATGTTTTTTTATTTGTATAGTACTTTTTTTACAACTTTAATAGGTTTAAAAAAAGAATATAGAATAATAATGACAAGCGTATAGATATCACAAAAATACAAAATGTACTATGGTTCTTACAAAAAGTGGAGATTTTCATTATCGAATAGATAAAATTATGTGGTAAATAAATTTCAAATTTACGCGCAAAATGTGGGATTGCCGATCCTATTGGATTTCATTCCATAGTAAATCAATACAAACTGAAAACTCATATCGTGAAATGGATAAACGGTAAATTAAATTCATATTTTATTTTACGGTAGGTTGTAATCTTAATTTATCCATTCTTAGAACTTTATTTTGTTATACGGTAATGAAACAATAACAAATCACTCATGATCATTTAAATTTTTTGTTTGTTCTCACAGGGAGAAGTATGTTATTATAGAAGATCTATTTTACGTAAACAAAATTTTTCCAAGAAAACACTCCACCCAGCCTGCAGATGTACCCGTGAGCAATAATTATTTAAAATTAAAATTAATATTGTTAATTAAAATTTGTAAAATTGTATTTGAATAATAATAACACAAGAGTAAAAAATCAGGACAAACACCTGGTATGGCGTGGCTCTATTCAGGGGTTGTTCCGGTATTGGTGATTAAAAATCTGCCTATTGAATAAAAAAGATAAAATATATGTATTATGATATCTCAAGTGAAAAATTAATAAATTAATCTATTAACGAAAAAAGATGTTAACGTCGGTCAGGATATTAATATAAAAAAGATTATATTTAAAATTTTATTTTTTGAAAATTCTTACAGCCATTCTTTTTATTTTTTTTTTATTTTTTACGTTTTTTGGAAGGAAAAAATTTTAGTATTGGAATTCTATTTCTTTGATATTATTATTGATTAATTAATTAATTATTATATAGAGCATGTGGTTAATTCTTGATAGTATTTGATAAGAAGTATCACGTTACGACAGCCCAACCTTGCGTAACATTTACGATGGCGTAAAATTACGCTGGAATATCGGATATAATTTATTGTACATGAATGGCGTGGTAACTGGTAAAGTCCGTTACTAATGAAGTTAGGTAGTACGTAATTAATTTGTACGACCTTAGACCCTTAGATGGTTAAATAAAATTTCAATCTTGAAATTATTAAAAGAATGTATCGTATTTTTTGAATATGGAAATTTTCACACAATAAATCCTTAAATAAATAAATCACGCCATTTTGCGTTTTTTTATATATTATATACAATATTAATAGGTATTTAATTAAACTATGCATCTGTTCATTTGATTAAAAACCTGCATTCTAATAAGTGTAAAGTTTATATGGCGTAAACCCTAAAAAAATGTTGGATGAAACTAGGATTAATTTATGGGATTATTTAATAAGGTTAGGAATTTGGTCCTCTAATACCAAGTATTCTTTTTAGAAAAGATGATAATTGTTACACATTAATATGTACCCAGAAAAATATTTATCGGGGTACCAATTATGTGATTTGTAGAAATGATCGACAGTAATGCTGGCCAGGGCATAACCGATGATTTAAGCCAGTATCTGACGCCTAAAAATCACCTGAGCGATCTGACGCCCAACGGCATAAAATGGAAACACAAACTAAAAAAAACCATGCGAGCCAATACATAACACATACTTTTTTTTTCTGTGATTTGATTCGAGGTAACAAAATGCAAAATTAATATATGTGAGAGGTAAAAGGGATCTTTTAGTCGAAATAATAGAAAAATTATGAATTAAAAATTAGATGTTTTCATTATGTGAGTCGGATTGGGGAATAACCGAAACCTTAAATTCATTTAAAATACTTGAAAAATAACAATTACGTTAATTTGTTTATATAAACCATTTATTATATTTTTTCACATGGAACATCTAAATCTAAATTCAACTGACAAGTTTTTTTTCAATGTTCTAGACGTAACGTTCTAATTTTAAAGTTCATTTTATGCATGACACAAAATTCCAATATTTAACAAAGTTCTAAAATTAATCAAACGTTTATCACTTTTAGAAAATACTGCGGCGTATGCAGGGTTAAATGATTTACATATTTACTTCCTTACTTTATTCCGGAACAAAAGAATAAACTTTGCATGCATTCATACTTATAAAATATTAATTGGTTTATTTATATTTGAAATTTATTTGTACAAATTATTTTGTTTTTTGACATTGTTGTGGATGTACATGATGATACATGCTGCATAAATGTTTTTGTATCTTAAAAAAAAAAAAAGAAAAAAAAAATCGATGAAATTAAAGAGTTCAAAAGGTTAGCAGATATCATTAAGATTAAGGAGAGAATTTTATGCAAAAAATTCATTCACGTAAATGATCGATAAATTTGGACTTTTATTTAATCATTTATAATTTATATTTTGGATAATTTTCTTTTTTTTCACGTTGATCTCGTTTTAAAACAATTTAAAAAACCGATTAATTTAAATTTCGGTTCTTTTTGTGGACAAATTATTCTAAAAACCGAGGATTTTTTATTCTAACCTAATTTAATTTATTTTTTTTTATTTTAATTCATTTTTTTTTTTAAAAAAAAAGGAGTTTCCTTTTTTTCATTCTTTGTTCTTTGTTCTATTCCATGCGTCTTTTTATTCATATTTATTTATATTAAAAATATTAAAACAATATAAACTGTAAATATTAGTGTTACACCACTTTTATTTATTTACTTTTAATAATAATGAAAAAAAAAATCCAAAATAAATAGAAAGAAACTTGTATTTATTTGATTTTTTATAAAAAAAAGTAATAATTTTTTAACATTTCTTAATTATTTTTACTTTTAATTTTGCATTTTTATATAATTTATATATAATTTATCACATTCCTTACATTAATAGTAATAATATTTTTTTTTTTTAAAAAAAAAAAATAAAATATGGGAGTAATTCAAACAAAGATTAAACAAGCAAAATCAAAAAACAAAACCAAACCGATCCGTGAAAGAAAATCATCGGAAGCGTTATCATTAATGTCATCATTTACATCATCAATATCATCAAAAACATCGGTGAAATTTCCGAGTTCAGATGGTGATATCGATTTTTTACATCAACATCATTTTATTGTAAAATCAATTTGGTCAACAAATTTTTCTTCTCCGATAAACAATATTATAAATGGTGATGGAAAAATATTAGATGCATTATGTTACGCTGGAACTTTTGTTTTAGAATTAGCGAATGAATATCAATCCGCGGAATTTGTCGGAATTGATAGATATAAATTATTTCCATCAGAAATTAAACCTAATAACGTAAATTTTCTTAGCGCAGATTTAATGGATGGAATACCTTCAGAGGATAATTATTTTGATTTCACTCACTTAAATACAATAGAACCCGTCTTTCTTTTAGAAAACTGGGAATTTATTATTAAGGAGTTAATAAGGTATGATAGATTCTTTTTTATTAATGCACATTTTTAATTAAATTTCATTTTCTAAAATTATTATAATATTAAAAGAGTAACGAAACCAGGTGGATACATAGAGGTAAGATAAATTAATTATATATATTTTTTTTTATTAAAAACATCTATTAAAAAACTATTACTTTTATTTATTAGATACAGGGATTTGATTTTGTAGACGGAAATCTTGGTCCAAAATTTATGCAATTCATCGGACATTGTACGTTTTTTATTATATTATTGAAAAAAATTCGTTCAATTATAAATTTCTTAATAAATTTATTCTCTTTTTATCATCAAAGATATGTTATTATTTGAAGCTAGTGATGCGGATTTAAAACCTCGTAACCACATAAGGTCACTTTTCTCTAGTAATCTTGAAGCGTCACAACATGATAATAGATCAATTTTACTAGGTAAGAAAGGTGATAATATAGGAATATTATTTGAACAGCATGTAACAATGTTTTTCAAAGAAACAATCAATGAAATGATGATTCAATTGATGAATACTGATTCAAGTGATTATGAAGAATCATGGAAGGAAGTACTGAAAGAAATTGGGGAATTTGATACCATCATAGATACTTACAGAATATGGGGCATGAAACCCAATAATAATGTTAATGGTATTTAAGATATTATATTAAATATTAATAATTAATTATGATAAATTTTTAAGTGTAATTGATATAAATATGTAAGTTATATATATGTATGTATATAATTAATTAATTTTTCTCTTTCAAGGAAAAAAAAAAAAAAAAAGCTTTTTTATATAATTAAGATTTTATATAGTTTAATTAATAAAAAAAAAATATTGATTTTTATTGATCGATCACAAAAGTCGCTTCGTCTCCTAAAAAAAATAATAATAATAAATATGAGCTAAATAAATAAAATTTGATAATTTTAATAAATTTATATGTAATTTATTTACTTGTTATTCTCACCTTTCGAAAGGGTTTGGCTCAATTAATCGAATCAAATCACCGATAAATATAATTTTTTAACTTTTTTCGGGAGAGGAATTTCTAATCAACCGACCATTAATGCATAAAAAAAAATGTCAGTAATTATAGTACTTTCTAAAATTTCTACTTTGGTCGACTCCCGGAATTGTAAAATAAAAAGCATTTTTTATGCGTTTATTTTGTTTGTTATGCATATACAGTTATGGCATAACTCTCAAAGAAACCAGTTAAAAGATCTTTATTCAATAATTCCATATGATATTTACAGTTGATTATTAATGCTTTGCATTATAAAGTTCTCATTGTATAAATATTATATTAATGACGTTGATTGTCGTCGGAATGTGCTGTACTGCACCGTCTGCACGATGATTGTCAAGCGGCTAAATTAAATGATTTATCGGTTAATTAAATTGATTTATCGGTTAAATTAAGTTATTTGACGGTTAAATTAAAGTGATTTGACGGTTAATTTAAGTTGATTTGTCGGTTAAATTAAGTTGATTTGTCGGTTAAATTAAATTGATTTGCTCGTCGGTTAATTAAATGATTGTCAGAAACATTTAAGATTCGAAATATACGCAGCGTAGGCAGTGGTTTTTTAATAAAATTTGCGCAAGATTTACACTAAGTGATGTCACCAGCTAATAATCCTCTTCCGGTAAGTCCCGTCTTTGCTGCGGTTATTTCGGACTTTTACTATCATATGATTTTCCCATTGAGCTTTGATATTTAATATCGTAAAGACGTAAACATATATAAAATGTATTATAATGAAAAAAAAAACATTATTCTCGTACTAATTATTATTATTTTTTTTTTTGCTCCAATTAAGATCATTTTTCACATACAAATATATAGATCCAAAATTTGTTAAAATACGCGAAGAAATCTGTTAAAAATACGCAAAATCTAATAAATCCTTGGCTTGCAAACAATGTCATATGAGGATTAAAATAAATTATTTTATAATGTTCGTAAAATCATCTTTCAAACATCAATCAGCCAGATGCTTTTAATATTTAAAAAAATTTGTTGTGATATCATTTTAGATGAATAAACCTTTTACTTGAAGAAAATAATTTTGCAATTACTGAATAGGTGGAACTAAAATTAAAAAAGTTTGATACTTGAATAAACGTTACTAGCAACTGGAAGAATTTTCAAATTACTACAGTCAGCTCTCGATATAACGAAGCAGGCGTTCGGGCCGATCATTGAGAATGCTAAACCGAATTATGGGAAAATTTGGTATAATGCGGTAAAATATAGGAAATTGTGATTTGTAAAACATCATGATTCAATGATTCATGGTCATGAAACTGCGAAACATAAATCCATCTTTTGATAAAACAGATTAAAGTGGTATATTTTCTTATTTGAGAAAAATTTCATGAAATCAACATCAAATTGCACTTTATGTTAGAGGTTGGATGAACGGATATTAATAATTTTGGTGATCGTTCAGATTTATAGATAGTGACCCGCAGATTTAAATAGTTTAACGGGTAGTCATTAAGCCAATGATCATATATAATGATAAAGTTTTAAAATTTTATTTTTGTAATGTTGTAATAATTGATCTAGAATTTAATATCCGACGGATATCCGGTCCAAAGTGTAATTTGTGTATAGCGAATCTATTGCTACTGTATATATAAAAATATTTATTCCAAAAATTTTTTGCTTCAAACACTTAATTGTAAATTTAAATTATAATTTTACTGAAAATTCAAACAGATAACGGATCCAGTCTCTACTTTATGTTAATCGTTTTTTTTTAAAAAATTCATTATAAAGAGTTATTTTGTATGTGCGGATTATAAGAATTACTTCGTTAGACGGTATACTAGTGATATTCGGTATAACGAGAATTCATATGTTAAAATCGGTACCGCATTAAAGATTCGTTGTATTGTGAAATTTGTTATATCAAAATTCGTTATAAAAAGAGCTCAATTTTAATTGATTCAATTTATTGAAGAAATATTGTGATACTTTTTATATATTGGCTTGTGTCGCGCACGAAACCACATACACCCAATATAAAAATGCCCTAGAAGTTTGCGGAAGTTTTAATGAACATGCAGTTTGATGTGCACTTTGTATGCTAAGATTATAACTATTGTTGACATTTGTAATGAATTACTTAAGGTTCAAGAATTAAAGGAGAAATCTGTTCATGTCTCTTATTCTAAGAATTCTGATGCATTTAAAATAAAATGTTCAGAAAAAAATATTGAGAGCATTAAGTTTTCAAGATTAGTTTTTTAATGCAAACCCTTCAATCAGATCATTATTTTTTGTGCAATATAAGATCAGTTAGCGTAACTCTTTTTCTTTATTTCAATTTAACAAACAAAATTTTAGTCAATAAATAATAAATAAAATGACTTTATTACTTTTGATTAATTATTATTTTTAAGTAAAATGGGGCTCCTAACGGGTCAAGTCGGGTCGGGTTTTGAAGATATACCCGACTCGACCAAAGTGAAAAAGTCTTGACTCTAAACCCGACCCGGGTATAGTTCGACTGGATATCCCGGGTCTAAACCCGAATTTTCAAAGGAAAAAAAATGAGTGACCACCATTTTTTCGGCATTATAATGAAACCTTAATGAAATTATAATAGATTTAATAGATTTGTAATATTATGAAGCTTTGTTATCATTCATTTATTATAATTAATTAGTATTTGTTCAATAACTCGGGTCAACCGGGTCGGGTCATGCGGGTCACCGGGTCATAAAAATTATTGAACCCGACCCGAGCTTTTAAGTCGGGTCGGGTCACATGACCCGGGTCGACCCGTTCCGTTAGGAGAGCTGATTTTTTTATATTGTATGAAGGTAAAAAGTTTCATATGATGTTTTAACAATTTTTTGTTTATCGTAATTTCAAAATAGAATAGAATAAATAAAATAATTGATAATCGTTTTGTAAAATTAATTAGTTATGGGTAAATACAATCGATCAAGCTGAAAAATTGATATAAAAATTTCTTTTGAAATGTGATTCTTTGAATCAAAAAATTCACCTACTGCTAATCGTATTGTTTTCTTGGATACGGTTAAATCAAAATATATTTTTAGGTGTGGAAGTCGAAAATTACTCTTGAAAGCACTTTGAAGGATTGGATATAATTGCAAGAACAAGTTATTCAGATATATAATTAGATTTAGATACGTATTTTTGGTTGGATAAATTGGACCCTATTATTTTGAAATTGATAGAAAGTGAAGTTGATGAGGAGTTTTGTGTAAAAATAATCTCGCTACAATATTTGGTTCGGGTGGTAGCATTAGAGTTAACGGATGGGACGACGGGACGACTTAGATCATTTCCCTAATGGAAGCGTTTACGAGTGATAATGGATTATGCTTAAGGTATATTAAAGTATATTTCCGGATATTTATATACGCAACAAAAGACTTGAGAATCGGTTGGTTTACCATTGATGATAAAGATGGAACATGTAAAAAACATGTAATAATAAATGTAAGAATTCATGTAACTAATTAGAAAATGATTTTTTTTTTTTTAGTAACAATACTTTAGCACTTTAGTTTATATATTTTTAATTTACATCTTGTTTATTGTGTGAAAATCATTGTACGACAACTGAAAAATTTCACGTGAAGTGCTTATACTGTGCTTATGCCTTACACGTTATTCAGGAGTAATTTCGTCTTGGTTGAATTGGCAAAAATGGCTTCTTTCTTGGCTCCTTGGCGTAGTCGGTTTTTTATATGGTAAAGATTTTCATATTTGCTAATCTTTATATCATAAATCATGCATGTCATTATTTCGTCATGCACAATGTGAAAAAATATATAAGGAGCTTGAATTTGCCCTAAAAAAAATTTTCCAATTCTAGAAAAAAAAATATTGCGACACCCAATGATGCAAAATAATACTAAAGATAATATAAATCCGGTAAATATAATGTTGTACTAATTAAAAAGAAGGTGCGGGAAAAAGTAATAAATATAATTTTTTAACTTAAAAATTTATTTTTTTTTTTAAAAAAAAATATATATATATATTTTATGATAATAGACTTTAACTTTGTCGCCATTACAAGCACATTATTTGAAGAAAGAACTTATCTCTCGTCAAATCAGATCTGAGATACAATTACTTTCACAATATGAAGCTATAAAAAATTTGGGTCCACCTTTTGCTGACGATGATTGCGTAGAAACTGATACTCCATTTTTACGTTTCATATTCAATCGTTTCGTATATACTTTTCCATTCCTTCGTAATTCTGAAGCTAATTTTTGGCTTAAAGTATCGGAATTTTTAAACGAATTTCAGAAGAAAAATATTACTACTTCTTCTACAAGAGATGAAACGACTAAAAGAAAGAAATTAGCTGAAAAAGTTGTCAACGAATTTACTTTGTTACTTAATGTTGGATTAAAAACAACTTTGGGAAAAGAAGAATCAATTAAAGTTGATTTTTCTCATATTTATAAAAATTATAATGAAAAAAATTCTCAGGATTCAAACTCTACAAATGGATGGACTGTTAACATTGTTTCTGTAAAAGCTGCATGTGAAAAAAAACGTAAAATTCAAAAACATGTTTATATGGAATATATCATTCAGACAATACGATCAAATTTTGATGAACATGTTTATGTTGTGAGACGTCGTAAAGATTTTAAAAAATTATATACTAAAGTAAGTCCTATTCAATTTTTTAAAAATCACACAAAATCCATAATGTATTTTTTTAATTTTCAAATATTTTTTTTTTTTTTTTAAAAAAAAAAAAAGCTTAAAGAAGAATTTGCGGCAATTGATATTCCTGCGGTTCCAAATAAAATTAAAGAGCGAAAATCGCCAACCTTTAATAAGACGAAATCAATACAAAAAGATGATCCTTCTAACGGTTTATATCAATGGGAAAAAAATCGCCAAAATTTACGCGCGTACTTGCGTTCTCTTCTCCTCATAAGAGAGGTTTCTAGATCAAAAACGATGAAAATCTTTTTAACAGATTCTCCCATCTCTTTAAGCGAGGATGAAAAAAGAGATATAGCAGAGAGACTAGAATTGGATTCAATTAGAGAGCAGCAAAAGAAAAAATTTGACGAGGAGGCAGAAAAACGCATTAAAGAACTCGAACAACATGTTTCAGAATTTAAGAAAATGGTTATGGGATCAGGTAGTTATTATTTTTCAAGAACCTTTTATGACATCAATTCAAAAAATTAAAAAATTAATTTTGTTTCAATTTTTTTTTTAATAGGCGGATTATCTGAAGTAATTAGTACAATACAACAAACTTCTGATATTTCAAATTTACCCGAAACTTATCAAAAAGTTGTTGAATGGGGCGAAATTGGGTTAGTATCTGTCTCTTATACACATCTAGATGTGTATAAGAGACAGGTATTATATATTGTTTTGATGATAAAATACAATTGTTTTTTGTCTTGGTTTTAGATTTGCCTCTACTTTATATTCTCTTTTTATTGGATCCGATAATAGTAGTGAGACTTTTGCACAGCTTAAGCGCACACATGGTTTAATGCCATATAGAGCTATTCGAAGCGTAATGAAAATATCAAATCCTGTAGCGCTAATGAGAGGGGTGTTAGATATATTTCTCGCTCAACCTTTTGGACAAAAAAGTTTAGCCCAAAGGTTAGATTATAATGATAATATTCTTTTTATCTTATTAAATGAACGTATATGTTTTATCTAATTTTTTATTTAATACAGGATTCTTTCAATGAATTTGACCGAAGATATTAAAGAACTTAGTAACGATATTAAACTTCTTGAAAATGAAATAAACGATGATGAAGTATGTCAAAAATTACGAAATTACATATATGCTTCCCGTGAAGTTCAAACTGCCGTGAAGAAAGAAGCGAAAGGAGAAAGTATGTGGAAGCAAAATCATTTATAAAAAAATGATGAACCGATTTATTTAATTTAATTGATTTTTTTTTCCTCTAGATATCGACGACCTCGCCCTTACGATATTGTATACAGAGAATTTAACCCCGAGTTTAATGGATTCGCAAATAGCAAGATTTACCGGAATTATCAACAACATTAAGATAGATAGTAAAGGTTTATTAAATGATTTAAAGAAATTATTCTTCTTTTACGCTCGTAAAAGAGACAAGGAAATGTTAATCGAATTACTGTTTCAGGTACAGTGCAATCAAATATATATTTTCAAGTATTTATTGACCTTTATATCAAAGTCGTTTAACATTTTTTTCGTTAATCAGGGAATCACTGGAGAAATTTTAAAAGAAATCATTACTATTTTTTATGAGCCATTGGCTAAAGTTTATAAAGTAAGTTTGTAGTGAATATTAATCATGACATTCTATTTATTAAATCAGTATCTAATTCACCTTTTTTATTTTATTACATTTTATAGGCTGCAAATATATCAGATTCTTTATCTGATCTTTCTGGATTTGTGGATGACTTAATTAGTGTTGTCGAAGATGCTGATCGAAAGGGTATTTTACTTTTAATAGCTTTTTTCTTTCAATTTTTAAATTTTTTTTAATTTATTTTGTTTGTTTATTTATATTTTTTTTTTTTTTTTTCTTCAGGTGTTGTTATTTATAGCCCGGCTGAATCAGTTGTCCAAACATTTATATCTCTTGTGCATCGTCATATGCCAAAATTTTATTCATTTGTCCATTCGGTTTATTCGCATGATTCAACAGGCTTATTCAATTCACTTATTGGATGGATTGGATCATTGTTTGATTTCATGCAGAACGGACTAGCTGAACAAATAGATTTGCAACAATTGATCGATACAACGTTGACAACTGAAGAAGAGCGAACCCGTGTTGTAAACGAAATAGAAAGTTTAATGAGTTGGCATACTTGGCGAAAGAAGAGACATTTAATGCGCCTCAAAAATATTATGTATAATGACGTTGATAGCGGCAATGATGGTGATGAGAGTGAAGATGATGACTATGATTACGATACTAATGAAGATTTTGTGGGGGTTGCTGATGACGATGATTTAGAAAGTCAACATGAAAGCGATGATTTAGAACATTCTGCTTCCGATTCAGATTCTTTGATGGAAGAGATGGAATTCCCTGAAATAGAAATTATATCAAAACTATTACCTCCGTTTGTAAGGTTGATAAGCGGTTTTATGCGGGAGTGTTAAAAATTGAACAATTTCCTATTAGTAATTTCATTTATTAATTTGTCAATTTATTAATTAATTATTATTTTATAATATATGTAATGCGTTTGTAATTTAATATATATATATAATTTATTACTACATTATGAATATCTTTGCAATCTCAATTATAAAAGTTACAGTATAGGTTAATTCATATTTCAAAAAAAATTTTTTGTGCCATTCAAACGCACATTATGATAAATAAATAATAGAAATCATTATTTATTGTATTTAATTAAATATTTATTGTTTCGTTATTTTTTATAATAATTCTCATGATCTGTCATTAAAACAAATTGGGTCACATGATCGCTTGACGCACGTGACTAATTGTACGATTTGCGCATAAAATCTATTCTAAATTTGCCGGATTTTCCGAAAGATTCCTTGGTTTTATATATTGAATGAATTTTTTTTGGATATGGCATATTAGATTTCCGGGAAATTTTATATAGTACCGGAATATATTCAGTAAATGTCAAAGCAAATCGGATTTTTTCCGGTATTTTATTAGAGATCTTAACCTTGTTGGTACAACTTCATTCGAATCTTACCAACTTTAGTAACACCCTTGAACATGGCTTTTTATTTATATAAAATTGGTAACACCCTTGAACTTGGCTTTTATTTATAAAATCATAAAAAAAAAAAAATTTCATTTATATCTTGAAAAAATCTTTCTCGTCAATATATAATATTAACAGTCTTTATATGTAATATTCAATAAATTGTCAAATAGATAGTATATTATATATCTTGTCATTTATATATGATAAGTACTACGGCAGAGGCTTTCAATAATACGTAAAAGTTATGCATAGCACCATACGCAAGGACTGCATAATAAAAGTAAGCGTCTATGCTCTAACCCGCGCAAAGATCTATATCGCTTCTCTACCTCCTCTTCCACTTTAACTCATCGCAAAAACCACCTAAAACACGCCGTCAACACGAAAGAGATTAGAATAAGAGGAATAGGGTAAAGGAGTGAGGAGAGATGAAAGAGATGAGGGTAAATAGGTCAGAGAAAAGGATTAGAGTGTAAGGGAATCTAGTAAATTGAATGGTTAGTAGGGAAGAGTCAGTACAAAAAGGAAGGATTAAGTTAGGTTAACATAATAAGAGATTAGGAAGAAGTAATTAGGATGTAGGATGGAAAGGATTAGATTAGGGAAGGAAATTAGCGTAAAAAGAAGAGGTTAGGATTAGCCATTAGGTTAAGGTGTATGAATTAAATGTGTGTGTGATTACTATCAGGTTAAGACCAGGGTATATGAATGAAATATTTAGGATTCATAGTAAAAAGAAAAAAGGCCTCTTTGTTTAATTATTCTTACGGGATGAATGGTTTCCAACTATAACGCATAGTCTTACTGAAGTAGAACCGCCACAAAACGGAAAAAAAAAAAAAAATTAATTTTCAGTCTTAAAACAAAACTTACAAAACTTTACAAACTCACCTTCATAAACTTTCACAATCATTAACAAACCTTACAAATATCTTACCCGTCTGTTCAGGCTCAGCTTGACTTCGATTTTAAAAACGAACTAGAAATACAAAAAAAAAGAGAAAAAGGAATTATAAAAGCGGAAAACTGACCTAAAAAAGAATATTATGATGGAGAATAGAACACCTATGGGTACTCTTTCACTATTGTTTGTCTAGAAAATCTGAATTAGAGTACCGCAATTCGTGCTTCTTGGCGCGTTCACCATTTTTGTTGGATTTCTTTATTTTCTCCTCTGATTTCTTCGTAGTGGCACCTTCACTATCTTTTCTTGAAGACTATATAATGATTATTCTTGCTTATAATCATTGTGCGAACATTTATATTTCTTGCTTAATGGAGAACACTGTGTGCGTAGGGCTTCGTGAGCTTAAAAGTATGCCACGAGCTTACGTTTATCACGGTTGATTTTGATCAAGTTACAAAAATGATGGTCATAATTTTTTGCATCAGGTGATTTATATGATTATTGAAAAAGATTTTTTGGAATTATTCAGGATACATATTCTGGTTGCAAGCCATGAATATTCATATGATTCATAGCGGTATTAAATTAAAACGTGTAATACTTTTAACGTTGTTAAATTATAAGATTCGTACATGTTTGGGTTTATCAAAATTCAGTTATGATTTTAATTCATTCATGATAAAAATTCATTGTACTGAAAGCAATAAAACAAGAAAAGCGTAAGATAGATACCGTGTATGATGATGATTTTGCAATAGGTGAGGCGTTTTTTTTTTCTATTCTTGATATTGCTCTTATGGAGAAAAAAACTTTTCAAAAAGGAGATCAAATATTAATATTTATCATTTTTAGTTATTAGATACGGAGCGACATTTTATCTTTTATGCTACAGTTATAGCAATAAACCCTCTTAATGTCAAATTTGCGAAGTCTGCATTAATAAAAAGACTTTTGGAAAAAGTACAAGAAATGTAAAAATGACGTGAAGCAGTTTATTGTTGGATATGTGATGGGACGTAAAGAGCTGACGATGAAAAAGATAACAGGCTCTTGGATATTTGAAAAAAGGTGTAATAGGTGTAATATGGAGTTATTGTTGCTAAATTATGTATTATATGCTACATCCTAAATTAGATGTATTTGATGTATTTTTAATAAAAATCAGAGTTAAATGATTGAAGAATCAAAAACGAGTTATCATTAAATGAGATAATTGCATCATAGATTTATTACGTTAATTTTCCTTATTCTAAAGTAAATTCCGCTTTTTCTCGTCTTTCAAGATTGAATGTTGATGGAACTTTCTTTTGAGACCAACTATTCAGGGTGTGTATCTTTTGGCGACTATTTTTATAAAAATCTCAATCAGGTGTTTTGAAACATCACGTATGAAGATTGCTAAAGAATATGTAAATCTAATATCCTAAACCTCAAAACTTATCGATCTACCAAGATTCTTAAGGATTCTGACGTTCGAATCTCTTCAATCAGAGAAAGAAAGAAGCTATTACAACTCAAAAATATTTGTAATATTCTATCACAGGATAATGTTCCAAGTATTACTAACACAATTGTATACCAAAAATTAGCGGGTTTAAATCATTGAAACCATTGGATTGCAAGTATTTTATGTTTAAAAATCAGATGAGTAATTGGAAGGGGACGAAAAAATAAAAGATTTTACATCAATAATGCTCTGTGATTAGATTGAAGATGTGTTCATTCATAATTAATGGCATGGTTATTGGTATAGTGCTTCGATCCTGATGGGATTTTAACGGATCAATCCGCGGTTTGGCAACGGTTTATTTGAGTTGGAGCTATAAGTTTGGCCAAAATCAATAAAATTTGTAGAAGAATAATTTTTTTAAATCTGACAAAAATTATAGTTTGACAAAAATAATAGAAAAATGTTGTGATGCTAATCAACGAATCAATCCGGATCGAAGCACTATATTGGTATACTTTCATCAAGTTCCTACGTAATTTAACATGGTCGTCATATTTTTGCATCAGACCTTTATTTTTTCGTCGCATCTAATTATGATCTTAAATCGTCCCAAATCAACGACACCGCAGAGTTATGTGAAAGACGCTTTCACGATTTATAATGACAGAACAAAGGTAATTTAAAAAGTATTCATTGCATTTATATTATATGTTTAGGAGATAATCAATAATCATTAGTTTATTTATCTGATATATTTAAAATTTAGCCTAATGTAATACTATATACATTCAATATTATTTATCTAAAAAAATTCCAATTTTCATTTTCATTTTCACAAAAATTATCATATTTTGCAATTATCCCTTCCGCCTTATACTTTTTAATTAAATTATCTATACCTACACTTTTCAACCTTCGAGATAATTGAAATGAAATAGGAGGTCTTTCTTTCCAATTATCAAAGAAAAATTTTAAATAATCTAAATTAATTGACCTATTAATATTTTCTACCCAAAATTTAAACATGAATAATTTAATTGGTGAAGAATTTGTTAATACTTTGAACAATTTATTCCAATTAAAAATATAATCTGCATTATCAATAATTATAATTAATCTATTTAAATGTTGACATCTAATTAATAAATTTTCTAATTCTTTAATATTTTCACTTCTAATCGTTAATTTAAGATATTTAAGATTTAAACAATTTTGATATATAGCTTGAATAATTCTTTTATTATCATTCTTATTATGAGACACAAGATCAATATCAATTTTTGTAAGGTATCCATTTGTATTATTAATAAAATTTGTTAAAGCTTTGATTGGAACATGACTAGCTTTTAAATTTTGTAATAAAGGTAAGGATAAATCTTCTAAACAATTCCAATTTTCATAAAAATGATTATCCAATTCTAAAATTTTTAAATTTACAAAAGATGAAAGAATTTTAGTGACAGGAGGTTTAGTTGTTCGAAAATGTTGAATATTATTTGCATGTTTAATTAAAGAATTTTCAAGAATTTTACATGTTTCACTGGATCTTTTAACAACTACATCAAAATTAACCTTTTTCAAATTTTTTTGACTTTCAATCAATTTAATAATTCCAATATTAATTTTAGGTTTTTCAATAATAAGATCTAATTCTTTAATAGATTGACAAATATCTTTTAACAAAAACCAAATATTCTTATCAGTATTACTACAATTAAGAAATTGTAATTCTGAAAATAGATGTTTAACCTCAGAAATATTAATTATTTGATAATTATATGTTTGTGGTGTATAAAAATGAGTAAATTCAATATTTTTATTAATAAAAAGAATGATGATTTCTTTTTTAATCATTGATATATGTTTTATAATATTATAAACATTATCAATAATTTCAAAAATTATATATAAATTCAAATGTTTACAAAATTTAATGTAATCAAATAAAGGTTTTTGATTTAAAGTTGTTTCTAAAAAATTAATTCCTTGATTTTTTAATTTATTTTTTGATTCATCTGATAAATGTGAAATTATTACATTTAATAATAATGATTTTTTATTATTCGAATTTAATTGATACCAAGGATTTTTCCATAAAATTGGAATAATAATTTCACAACAAATTTTATTAGTTAAAAGACATGAATAAAGTGTATCTTTATCATATTGTAATTCTTCAAATATTAAATAAAGAATATCTGTATTTAACTTTGACATTTTTTTTTTATTCTTATTTTTAATAAAAGAAAAGGAATATTTCTAATATTTCTTTTTAAAGAGCAACCC